AGGGCTGGGTCAGAATCTACAGCCCCCACCACCAAAAAGGCACAGGTTCAAGTGGCAGGTGGTGTGGAAACAGCTAGAGCACTGTGTTGTGGGCAGCCTATGGCAGAAGCGGGTGAGTACGTGCTGTGTGGGGGCCATTGTGGTAATGGGGTGGATTTTGTAATCTGATATTTCAGGGCAGTCAGTCATGCTTCAAGTGGGCTCGGTGGATTTGATCTGTAGTTAGAAAGGAAAAGCGTCTAATTTCTCAGAAGGAAGTTGTGCGGCCACTTAATTGTGCAAGGTGCCAGGTGCCTCCCCAAAGGCTGGGCCGGTGAGCCGGAGAGGTGTTAGCATCTTTGGAACAGGCACGACTTCAGCAGTTTAAAAATATCTGAACTTCTTGTTACCTTCCAGGTGGGGGTAGTGTCCTTTGGGCAGTGAGGTTATACAGGGAAGGACTGCTGCTTTGCCAAGAGGCCTCACTGATTTCTTTGGTCATAGTCTACTTGTAGGTGGATTCTGAGGTTATTACTATCGATGTCAATGAATTATTATTTGCCATCATTTGAATTATTATTTGCCATCAAACTACTTGTCATTTGTGACAACTCCCTGAGAGGAACACTGCATTGTAGTTCGTTTATCTTCCATACTGGGCTGGACTAAAATGCCAGGCATCTTTAATGAAATCCTTCTGCCTCCAAGGTCGTATTCCTTGCCCACTCTGGTTCTTGGACCAGAAGTCTGCAGAGGCCCTGACTGTGGTGGGGGTCATCACTGGACTAGGTCTGAGGGCTCTCCTCTTTGGAGTTTAATTCTAGACCACAATGTGAAATTATTGAATCCGTCTGTGTAAATTAGCTGTGTGTAAATAGTTTTAGCTTGGCAAAGTAGCCTACAGTAGTTCCTATACCTGCAGGAATAAAACATTCAGAGGCCTAGGCCCCAGCTAGGACTTTTGGTGTAATTGGTCTGGTTAGGGTGGGGTGGCAGGGTTTGCTCAGCAGGTGCTAGGTTGTGGGGATGGGTACACAGCTCCAAATTTTAGTAAAAATCATTGAATTATACACTTAAAGTTGGTCTATTTTATAGTATGTAAATTGTACCTCACCAAAGCTGTTTAAAAAAAAAAAAAAAAAAAAAAAAAACCAAAAAAATTCCCCAGACGATTGTGTGCAGCCAGGGCGGAGAACCCCTGTCCTACAGTGAGGCGTCCTCTGGCCCAGAGCCTCTCATCCCCACACTAGGTCCCTGTAATGCAGCATCCGGTTCTGTTGCTCGGTCATCACAACACCCCGGTCAGTGCATCCCTGCCCTCCTGTGTCCGGGCCTCACCTCTTCCCTGTTCCTTGGCAGTAGACTGTCTTCTCAAATTTTTCACTTGTGTCGTGTGGCCCCATTTCACATCCTCTGGGCATGTTTTCTATTTCACTGGGTTTTTGTAAAACTGAATGACCAGAATTCTCATGACAGGAGTCAGGATAGGCCCGCCAGAGAAAACCGGGTTCCAGTGGCCAGCATCAATCTCTCAAAAGGAGGGTCCTCAAGAAGGGTTTCTTGTGAATTCTTATCAACAAAAAGTTAAGTAATAGTGTAATAAATATGTAAATAGTATTCACCTTAAAACCATCTAGATTTAATTATATGGATAACATTTACTTAAAAGTGATTAATATGCATGACTCATTTGATAAAAGGTGTGCTTTTTTGATAAAATGAGTGCCCTGTTTGGGCTGTTGGAGCAGAGCCTGGCTCGGACCCCATCCTGGTGGGAGGGCCAGGGTGGGTGGCCTCAGAGTGTTTCTTTACCCCGTGCCCTGTTAGAGTGAAAGGCGAAACTAAAGATCACCATGGTTGTTATAAGTATGATGCTAGTGAACCTTCCATAGGATCTTCATCATTTTGTGTTAAGTGCATATATTCTAGTATACAATAGCACAAGACTGCCAGGGCTGCAGTCCTTAGCTCCTCCCTCTTCTGCCTCACCTCACTTGTCTGGATACCCATCCCGAGTGCCTGGAACCCAGAGCTAATACATTTAGTGGGTCACCCGTCTCTACCGAGATTCTCAACTAGCTGAGGTCAGGGGCCTGTGCCTTTCCTAAACCCTTAGCCTCAAAATAGCCATCTGCCAGTCTCCCCACTAACTGCACTCAGCTTTACAAACATTGTGGCCTCTCCCTTCCCACCCATTCCCCCCTTCTCCACCCCCTGCTCTGCACTTGAAGGAGTCATTTGCTTCTTAGTGTTTTGTAGACTGGTTTCATCTTTCCACTTACATTCCTGTTGTTGTTGTTTTTACATCTTTATTGGGGTATAATTGCTTTACAGTATGGTGTGTTGGTTTCTGCTGTATCACAAAGTGAATCAGTTATACATACTATACATACGTTCCCATATCTCTTCCCTCTTGTGTCTCCCTCCCTATCCCACCCTCCCTATCCCACCCCTCCAGGCGGTCACAGAGCACCGAGCTGATCTCCCTGTGCTATGCGGCTGCTTCCCACTAGCGATCTACCTTACTGCCAACAAACACATGAAAGAATGCTCAACATCATTAATCATTAGAGAAATGCAAATCAAAACTGCAATGAGATATCATCTCACACCAGTCAGAATGGCCACCTTCCTGTTGTTGTTGTTTTTTTTTTATTTTTTTTTATTTTTTTATTTTTTGCGTTACACGGGCCTCTCACTGTTGTGGCCTCTCCTGTTGCGGAGCACAGGCTCCGGACGCGCAGGCTCAGCGGCCATGGCTCACGGGCCCAGCCGCTCCGCGGCATGTGGGATCCTCCCGGACCCGGGGCACGAACCCGTGTCCCTTGCATCGGCAGGCGGATTCTCAACCACTGCGCCACCAGGGAAGCCCCTTCCTGTTGTTTTGAATGCCCTCAGCAGGGTCCGATCCACATCCCGTGACCTTGCCTCAGGCCTCGTTCCCCTGGTACCAGTCTGTCCTCTCTGCTGAATCATTCCTACTTTTCCTCCTGTCTCTCGTCGGTGACTTTCCCTGCTCCTGTCCTCTGCTTTCTGCCAAAGTTCTTTCTTCTCACCAGTCTCTCCCCTTTGTTGGTCTCATGACGTCAGGTGGCATCACTCTGCAGGGGCGCCCCGGCCCTGGTCGTGCACCCAGACTTCAACTCCCCCACCTGCCCCCCTCAGCTTCCTCAGCCCTCAAGCCTCAGTGCCATCTCTGCACACACACAACACACACACACACACACACACACACACACACACACAGGGTTGGCAGAGCCTTCCGTCCTCTTTGCTGTTAGGCACGCTGGCTCTCCCCACCTCTGCTGAGTCCTTGCTGCCTCAGAGCACCCACCTCACAGGTCACCTGGCCTCCGCTTTGCCCTTCCTAAAGGTGTCCTCTTGAGGCAAAGCTTAGGAACTTCTGTTCAGAAATCTCCCTTGGCCATCGGCAGGCGGATTCTCAACCACTGCGCCACCAGGGAAGCCCCTTCCTGTTGTTTTGAATGCCCTCAGCAGGGTCCGATCCACATCCCGTGACCTTGCCTCAGGCCTCGTTCCCCTGGTACCAGTCTGTCCTCTCTGCTGAATCATTCCTACTTTTCCTCCTGTCTCTCGTCGGTGACTTTCCCTGCTCCTGTCCTCTGCTTTCTGCCAAAGTTCTTTCTTCTCACCAGTCTCTCCCCTTTGTTGGTCTCATGACGTCAGGTGGCATCACTCTGCAGGGGCGCCCCGGCCCTGGTCGTGCACCCAGACTTCAACTCCCCCACCTGCCCCCCTCAGCTTCCTCAGCCCTCAAGCCTCAGTGCCATCTCTGATTGCCACACACACACACACACACACACACACACACACACACACACAGGGTTGGCAGAGCCTTCCGTCCTCTTTGCTGTTAGGCACGCTGGCTCTCCCCACCTCTGCTGAGTCCTTGCTGCCTCAGAGCACCCACCTCACAGGTCACCTGGCCTCCGCTTTGCCCTTCCTAAAGGTGTCCTCTTGAGGCAAAGCTTAGGAACTTCTGTTCAGAAATCTCCCTTGGCTCCTGTTGCTGCAGAATAAAGTTGAGAACTCTGGGCCCTCCACCATCCTGGCCCTGGTTTTCCACCTTGTTTCCCATTGCTCTGGCTGCACTGCATGCTGTCTGGTTTCTGTGCTTGTCTGCGTTCTATGCTTTTGCACATTGCTAACTTATCTCCTTGAAATACCCTTTTCCCCACCTCTGTGGGACTGAATTCTACTGGTTCTTTAAAGCCCAGCTTGAAAACCTCCTCCTTCCTTTAGTCTCCGCAGCTGGAGAGTCGCCAGAGCACGTTATGTTATGTTATGTCATGTCAGAGGCACAGTTTTCTGCCCGGTTTCTTCTGGGTGCTCCCCCAGACCTCAGCTTGTTAATAGGATTGGTGGGAGTTTTGGAGCTTTGTCCTGGCAGAGGGGTGCTGGGCTTGAATGCTGAATGAGTGACGGCTAGAAGAGGTCCAAGAGGAGAGCACGAGGGCTAAGGAATGTAGCTCCAAGGAGGAGGCTTCCTTGGGTATCAGCTTGCCCACAGATGGCAGGGGCAACACACGGGCCCAGCAGGAGGTAGCGAGTTTTCTCTCCCTGGAAAAGTTCTAGCGCAAACTGGGCAAGCCCTCACGGGAAGACAAATCCGGAAAAACTGGAAGAGGCAGAGATATAAATATAAATCAGATTTTGAGGGCAGTCGTTCCACTACTTGGGGGAACAAGATTTTCAAAAACGCTTTAGTGACTGTTTACCTATAGATAATTTCTATGTTAATTTTGAGTAATTTCCATTCATGCTGAAGTAAAATTTCAAGGGCCCTTGACTGCACTTGCTGGCATCCTGCAAGTCACTTTGTATCTTTGAAAGTAACTTCATGGCTTAAAGTCTAAACTTTAGACCAAGTGTAGATTTCTGTTAATTCAGTTTTGTTTGTTTGTTTTCTTCATTGTTCTGGAGGGAATTGCCAGTTTAGAGCTGGTGATTTTATGTGGAGCAATTGACTAATATTAACAATAATCTCTTTGTTTTTACAGAGGTTGCAGAACTTGAAGCTAATTTACCTTGTAAGTATAAGCATATCCCCAGACATTAAATGCTGCAAAATAATTGCATGGAGAAGCTTGTTTTATGTTTTGATAACTTTGCATAGCAAAAAGCCCGTTTTATATGTAGGTTAGGAATAAACAGGATTTTTTTCGAGGCTCTGATAAGGAGAATGTAGCACGGCAGTGCTTCCTCTCCTTACTGTTTGTTGCAGGGGTGCGTTTGGTTAGGGTTTGTTCCTCTTACACAGCATTCTGTCCCACGTCCTCTTTTAGTGAAAAGGCATATAAATCAATGGTGGACAGTCCTATTTTTGTTAGTGACAGTACCATGTTTTTGGCCCGAAAAGTGCTTATTTGTAATTTATCATTGTGCGCAAGGTAGGACAGCTGTGCTGCCTTGATGTCTCCAGGTCGCCTCACCTTGCTAGGTCCTTCTTAGCCCAGCACACAGGGACTGACTGCGGGCCTCACTCGTCAGCAGGCTCGCTTACCAGCCAGTTAACTCCTGTGATACGTGTCAGTGTTTCTTTTTTCCCCTATCATTGATGCCTTCCCAAGCCATTATATTTTGTAACACCATCAAAGTCTGAAAGCTTCGACCATTTTAGTATTTTTTGAAATTAGAACTTTTTATCATTATACTTGGTTAAGGCTGAATATATTTATCAATATGAGTGAACTATTTTATACGTGGGTCTCCTAGTCTGGGCGAATGCTCGAGAGAGTTTGATACGGAGACCATCTGATACAGGGTGAGAGAGGGCCCATCCCAACCTCCACCTAAAGTTGGAAAGATAATTGTGGGGTGCAGCTCTTAAGTGGTTGTGTAATCAGTGTGTAAGGGTAAGTACATATTGTTCCTTGAAAAATTATTTTTAATATATAGTATTTATATATGACTATAGTGGGTTGTGCTATAAAATATATTTTAGTGTAAGTCAAAAATGTCTGGATTTTTGACTTCAAAGTTGCTTGACTTCAAAGTTTTCTTCTAGTCAGAGCTAGAAGGAAATATCTTGGATTTCTATCAAAAGGTTATCTTTCCACCTACTGACGTATTTACAACTGATTTGCTTTAAAACGTTCCAGGAAAACAAACAAATAACTGTGTGTGTGGGTAGGACAGACAAAGCAAGATTAGTAAAATACCGAAGCTGGGTGATGGGTTCATTATACTGGTCTCCCTCTTTTTTTCTATTCTTTTCAGATTATATAATAATGTAATAAAGTCCAGTTAAAAAGGAAAATGAAGTAATCCTTCTATTTTCCACCCCCATCATATCTTCCCACTGGCCCTCCATCTTGAACATATATGCACATGCAGACTTTTAATCAAAGACCATAAAAAACTTCCAACTTACACCCAGTTTATTTTGTCCTTGTATGTTAATCTTACACAGATTGTTGGTTTGTAACTAATAGAGTATAGTTTAGCTTTATCTAAATGTTTGGTTTAAAAACAATAAAACTATAATTGGCTTTCAAACCAGGACTTCAACTAAACACCTTAGGTTTGGGAGAGGCATGCCCCTTCCTTGCCCTTATAGCTAAGGTGTCGAATTTTAAAAGCTACATATGCTATATGCTTCCTTTCTCTTCCTCTCCCTGCCTATTCTCTCAAAGTGGGGGGACATATAAATCAGTTTATACGAGTAAGCCAGGCTTTCCAAAAGTATGCCGCTCTCTAAAGAGGAAACAAGAAGCCAGCGAAGAATAGATCTTTCCTATCTGATTAATAATCTTTCTAAAATATTAAGGCAAACAGAATAACTTGCCGTATAGCAGTGCTGCTTAGTAATGATTCAGAAGTAGTTCAGGAGCTCCGTTCATGCAAGTTTGTAGAGGTCTCTCTGTTTGCAAAAAGTAGACGACATCTCTTTCAGATGGACGGAGACACTGTGAGAGGCCTAGCCTGTGCTTGCAGAGAGGAAAAGCTTAGTTCTGGAGTTTTAATAAAGCTGCTGCATTGAACTAAAACAAGCTGACTTTTAACCTTTTGTTGTCATTGTTAGAACTTAAGACTTCTTTTTAGCTTTAAAATGTTTCGTTCTTTTTAGAAGTTTTATTGTTATTTTTAATCCATCTCGATAATTTCTTTATTCTTGGTGGGCCAGTCTATATTAGAAGGATTGATTTCTACATCTGTACTTTTATTAAAACAAAGGAGAATACTAGACATTAAAAACAAATGGATGCTGCCAACTTTAACTAATCAATGAAACATTTCCTAAGCCCTTGTCATATGTTTTTGTTACATATATTTCACTAGAAAAATGGTGTTTATCTTTCCAAGTTAAGATTAGGAAAAACGAATGCCATTTAAATTATTCCACACAGTTCAAATGTGTGGTTTGGGTGAAAGCCTTGAACTCTTTGGCCCCTGGTTTCTTTATTTTGGAAACAAAGAAGATGACAGTGTAATCTCTGAGACCCTTTCCTGTTCTTCTAGATGGAGTTACCTTTCACTCTGCAACGATTTTTCTGAGGGATTAGTTAAAAAAAGAAACCCTGCTAACAGTTGTGCATTGTTTTTATGTGTCATCTCTGGCATGTTCATGAAGTAATGAAGTGAGGCATGAACTAGTTTTGTTCTTTCGTTGTTGTTTTTTTTTGCGGTACGCGGGCCTCTCACTGTTGTGGCCTCTCCCGTTGCGGAGCACAGGCTCCGGACGCGCAGGCTCAGTGGCCATGGCTCACGGGCCCAGCCGCTCCGCGGCACGTGGGATCTTCCCGGACCGGGGCACGAACCCGTGTCCCCTGCATCGGCAGGCGGAATCTCAGCCACTGCGCCACCAGGGAAGCCCATGAACTAGTTTTTAATTTGGGAACTAAACTTCCTTCTGTTGATAACCTGTGTAGTCTTGGGCTGGTCACTGAACTTCTCTGGACCTTCATGTCATCTCTCACAATTGATGATGTTAGATTAGATGGTCTCTAAGGCTGTTTCCAAGGCTAAATTGGAATTGTCCTATTTTTGATGAAAGTTCATAGCATGTAAAACTAGGCAAATATTTTCATCAGGACTTGTAAGAAATAGCAGACGTGACCCAAGGGATCTAGCATGATATTTTCCAGGTTTATAAAATACAGACAATTTCTACGTATTTTCCCTCCACATTCCTTCAGTATTTATCCCTTGGGTTTTTACCCCTCTTCTGCATCGTTTGTCTGAAGGAGGCAAATGTAGGATGTCTTGCCCTGTCTGCACCTCTGCAGTAGCTCTTCTCCAGTGTAACTACTTGGGTCTCCTGATGCAGACCGTCCTGGTTCAGTGCACATGCGCTTAGAGTGTTGCCGTCCAAGTCAGCAGAGCATCCTGTCACCAGCAAACCAAGCTGAATTATCGCTCGGGTCGTGAAGACATTAAAACAAAAAAAAAAGAGGGCTTCCCTGGTGGCACAGTGGTTGAGAGTCCGCCTGCTGATGTAGGGGACACGGGTTTGTGCCCCGGTCCGGGAAGATCCCACACGCCGCGGAGCGGCTGGGCCCGTGAGCCATGGCCACTGAGCCTGCGTGTCCGGAGCCTGTTGCTCTGCAATGGGAGAGGCCACAACAGTGAGAGGCCCGCATACCCCAAAAAAAAAAAAAAAAAGAAAGAAAGAAAGAAAAAAGAAAAGCTGTGGTCTGGGTGTGAGCTACCTTAGCTGGTACAGTTACTTTTAACTTCTCTTTGCTGTGGTGGGTACAGATGACTGTGGTGCTGGGTGAACAGACCAGAAGTTTGGCCTGGGCTCTTTTTCTGGTTTTTCTATGTTTAGTTAGCCTTTACCCACATACGTTAATCTCCCTGAGGTATGGTTTCTTCTTTTCAAAGTAGCATCATTCTTGAAATTAATGGAAAGATCTCTATTTTTAGGGACCATTTAAAGGGTTAAAGATAACATCCCAATTTGGAACTAACAAAAAACTGTAAGGAGGAAAACACATAGCAAATATCACTGGTTTGCAACTTCAGCACATTGGCATAATTATTATTAAACAAATGGGGGAAATATCCCGGTTTAGTCTGTAGACTGAGCACCGTTAAACTTTCCCATGTGTTTCAAAGTTATAGCCTCAGCATAAGGACTGCTGCTAACTGTCAGACCTTCATGACGGCCTGTTTCTTTTGCAGGTACGTGTAAAGTGTATTTTCCTGATCCAAACAAGCTTCATTGCTTTCAGCTAACTGTCACCCCAGGTAATATTCTTACACGTGTAAGTATTAAAGTGATTTTCAAACACATTCCAAAGGCTTCTGAAATCTATAATATTTGGTTTGATTTGTCCTCCAACTTTTTGAAAGTTATGACGGTAATGACCATTCCATATGAAGACGAGATACATGCTGTAGTCCAATAAAGCATAGGGAAGTGCTCTGAGGCATGTGGCGTGTACCCAGTAACTAGGTGCAGACGTTAACGCCCCCAGCGAATGACACCGAAGGCTCCTGGTGTAGGGTGGAGAGTATGAGCTCTGAGGACATAACTGGATTCAGACAGATCCTGCTCTGCCATTTAGCAACAGTGTGGCCATGGTTAAATTGCTTAATAACTTCTCAGCTGCAGCCTACCCAGCTACAGAGTGGGGATCAAATAGAACCTATCTCATGGGACCGTTTCGAGGATTAAATAGATAATGGGTGTGAAGCGCTTCAGCCCGGCCTGTTACAGGCACCAGGAAGCAAGCAGGTTACCAGCTGTCCTTGTTAGCACGGGTCAAGTGTCCAAGCTCCAAGTGCTTCGAGCTGGTAGATATTTCTCCTTGGTCACACTGCACAGCTAGAGGGAGGGCTTGGGTTTTTCCTGGTTACAGTGCAGCTCTGGGAGTTGCACGTTTTAACCAGTGCAGCCCTCTGGCGTTTATGTTGACAGTGGGTGTCGTGGCCAGTGGAGCTGCTGTGGGCTGGGTGGTGAAGGAAGAAAGCGGGACAGAGGGAATTAACAAGAGGGGAAGCAGTGTTGTGGAGGCAGTGGAGGGCGTTATTTTATTTGGGGGAGGGAAAGGGAGTGAGAAACTGAGAATAATGAGTCACTAGCTAATTTAATTAAAAAGTGAAAGAATGCAGAATTTCAGTAGGTGGTAATGAACCCACCAATAACCCCTGGCATGTCTCCTTGCAGGTAGGATGGTTTTCTCCCATGGAAGATGTTGTATTAGAACAGGAGAAATCCCATTTTCAACATGTGCTTGAAAACTTTAAAAAATTCATTTAGTCTGTGTGGTGGTTCTACAGACGACTCTGGGGCGTATCCATAAATTCAGTCTGGTACCATGTCCATTTCTAAGATGAGTGAGCACTAGGGTAGAGATACTAACATCAGAACATCGTTGTCAGAAACGGGCGTTCCACAAGCCTGACCTCGAGAGAGGACTGAAGCTCAGGACTTTGTGACGTGATGGAGGTTCTAACCATTCTTTGACCACCTTCATAAACACATTGCAAGCTCTGCCCTTTTTAGTGAGGGATACTGAGCACACTGTTTCCGGGTGACCAGAGGTCACCATTATGAACGTCATTTACTCTTACTGTTAAGCAATGCAGGGTGTTTTCAGAAATTGTGGCAATTACGATCGGTTCTCTGTTTACTAAATAGTCTCACACTTGTGTGTTTGTAGTAAAAGTATTTTCTTCTCTCTGCCTTTTTAGGGCATTTGTGAGAGCTTTGTGATTCTCAGCTATTCAGAGACCTTGTTTGCTTTTGCCAGGCTTATTACTGGCTTACATGAGTGAGTTTGTGTGGAGTCCAACCAACCTCTGGATAAGTCTTTCTTTTTTTTTTTTTTTTGTGGTACGCAGGCCTCTCACTGCTGTGGCCTCTCCCGTTGGGGAGCACAGGCTCCGGACGCGCAGGCTCCGCCACTCCGGGGCATGTGGGATCATTCCCAGACTGGGGCACGAACCCGCGTCCCCTGCACCGGCAGGCGGACTCTCAACCACTGCGCCACCAGGGTAGCCCCTTTTTTTTGTTTTTTAACTGATTTTTTTTTACTAAATTACATGGATCTTGTTCATATTGAGATTATGTCTATGACACCATCTTTGATATTATTCTTGAAACTGCAGCACGATTGTTTGTTACAGTTTTTGTGTTCACTATTCCATCAGGTGAAAAAGGAATTTGTGTTTTGGTGCCTGTAACTGCTTCGTACTTGAGCATTTATATTTGTGGAAGTGCGCACATGGAGCTTTGTGTGGCGTGCTCTCCAGGTGCTGTGTGCGCCCGTATTGTGTGGCATCAGTGACTCAGAAAGCTGCTGTGGCTCTTGTCCTTTGTTATCAAGTGAAGCGTGGCAGAGATCTGCCAACCCTAAGAACTTGCCCAACATCCTGTTTTTTTAAAAAACTTTTTGGAGTCATGCTCTTCTTAGTTACTAAAGAAAAATAGGTCTAAGTAGTAAAGTTTTAACAGTATATGGAGCAGATGGTATTGAAACTGGCTCATTTGCAGCCAGTAATACTGGGGCTGAGTCTGAAAACTCAATAATATAGAAGATCTAGATATTTAGGTGGTCAGGGTGGAAGAATTGCATCTGCACTTGAAGCTCAAAGCTCTTCTTTATCTGGCTCCTGGCAAGATAGTTCCTGTTCATACTTGGTAACATTTTTATAGTTTTGTTTGTTTTTGGAATGTCCCTCATGCTTGGGAATAAATGTACTCTTCAGAGAAAAGATGGAAATGTAATTTGGTGATAGAGGAAAAGAAAAGAAATGACCTTAGAAGAAAAAAATCCCCACATCAACTCACAAAACAAGAAACAATACTAGAAAGTAAAATGAAACAAAACAAAGCGAAAATCTAAAGACTGGCTGAAATACCACCAGAGTTCTTCTGTGAAGTTAGAGGGATGATTTGAAAAACTGGGCCAGGTCAGAGTTGCCCAGTTGACTTGTGGAGGTCCCCTCAGCCTGCCCCCACTGTGACATGGTGGCTTGTAGGCAGAGGGGACCGTGGACCTTTTTTTTTATTTTAGTTTTTACTTTTTAAATAAATTTTGCTGAGGTATAAAATTACAAACAATAAAATGTACTAACTTGAACTGTAGAGCGTAATAAGTTTTGCAAAATGGATACACATCCCTGTGTAACCACAATCCCAGTAAACATATTTCCAGCATTCCCAAAGTTCCCTTCTTCCTCTTTGCAGTCAATTCCTCACTCCCTGCTACCCACCCAAAATTGCTTTCTGATTTCTCTTACCATAAATTAGTTTTGTCAGTTCTTGAATTTCATATAAATGGAATCATATTATGTATTCTTATTCTCTGGCTTCTTTCATGTAACATGTTTTTAAATTCATATGTATTGTTGTGGGTAGCAGTATTTGTTGTATGAATATGACGTAATTATTTATTTACCTATTGATGGGCATTTGAATTCTTTCCAGCTTTTGGCTATGATGAGTAAGACTGCTCTTAGCATTCTCATACCATCCAAAGTTGTTTGGAATATTTTCTTATTAGTCTCCTGATGTCTGTGGGATCTGTACTCATGTCCCTGTTTTCATTCCTGATGTTGGTTTATTTGGATCTTCTCTTTTTTTCCTTGATCATGTTAGCTTGAGGTTTATCCAGTTGATCTTTTACAAAGAGCAAGCTTTTGTTTTTCTCAGTTGTTTATCCATTTTATTGGTTTCTGCTCTTTTCTTTATTATTTCCTTCCTTATACCTTGGGTTTAATTTGCTTTTCTTTTTCTACCTTCCTAAGGTGGAAACTTAGATTGATTTAAAAAAAAATTTTTAAGCAATGTTGATTGAGCTATAAGTTACATTATTTTAGTCAGCATAATGCTTTTGAGTTTCATCTATGTGGTATTTTGTATCTTTTTATTGATGGGCTGTATTCTGTTGCATGGGTGTATTCCAGTTTATTTATAACAGGTTATTGATGAAACTTTGTGTTATTTCCACTTCTGGGCCATTGTGAATAAAGCTGCTGTAAACCTTTGTGGGCAGGTCTTCGTTTGCCAATGTTTTTTTATTTCTCCTGGCAGTGCAATTACTAGGTTATGTGATAAGAGTAAGTTTAACTGCATAAAACACCTATGCTCTT